CCGGTATTAGCTAGCGTAGAGGGCTGTCCTGTGAAACTTCAGTAGTCGACGAACAAACTGCGATGGTTTCTCCGCTTGAGTTGTTCCACGACGGTCTGGGGGGCTGTGGAAAGGCTTTGTTTATGTGAGAGGAGAGGACCAGTCGCTTTGTATCGAGGAACTCAAACGACAGGTCCATCTGCTTTGCCGGAGTCTTCTGGCTCTGGTCGTGTACACAGGCTTTCGTGCGCCGTTTTGCGGCTTGCGACATCGACCCAAAATTTTAAGCGCGATGGAAAATCTTCTGCTGCGCCGCGGACCGCCGGCTCCTGCTCGACTGCTGTCTGGACGCGGTCTGGCTCGTTGCACCGAGATCCACAACTGCCTCCTCTACTGCTCCGCCAACCAGAAGAAGCTCAGGTTGGGATCTTGTAGCTTTTCGGCGGATATTCCCGAGCCTCCGAAACTGCAAGGCAGCACCTTGCGACGCAGAGCACCATCGTTCAGGCCGATTGGTGCGGACGTGCAGTGCTGGCAGAGACGGCAGAGAGCCGAAGAAGCAAGGACATCATGATCCCCTACGTATACAACATTCTGCCAGCGCTGTTTGACAATCCTGCAGTCCTGCGCTCAGATGTACAGCAGGAACTGTCAGTAGGCATCGTTGTTCTTGCAGCTGCTGGCTTTGCCTGTCAGTGTGGCCCTGCGCTCATCGAGTGGCAGAACCTGAAGGCGCTCGAGAGCTACTGGTATTGATTCTTAGGCGCTTATGCCGAGGCAGTTCTCAGAGGGGTGGGCTGCAGGCAACATTGCAGACGTTTGTTGTCGTCACCTTCAACATCAATGTTCGATCCACAGCGGCGATTCTGCTGATAGCCTCTGAAACATTTGGCTGTTCTGGCCCTTGAGGTCTTTCGACCCCACTTGCGGGACTCGGACATGATCCCAAAGATTTGCGAGGCTCTGTCTTGCAGGGCTGCGTGGCGGCCAGCATCCTGCTTGCGAAGGTGCCTCGCATCCTGACTCACATCTCCATGCTGGAGCTTCTGGTCTCTGCCATACTTCATGTTGCGGAAGCACAGACAGAGCATCCCTGGGCTTGTGCTTGAGGTCAAAACGGCAATCAATGTGGACTATCCAAAGGGTCCGTCTTGCCCCCAGCTGTGCCACGCTGGTCTGGTTGCAGTTAGGCAGAGGAGGAATCAGTCTTGGACGAGGTTTTGCGACAAGCTCACCGAGACTCTCCAGGTGCAGCGATGCGAACATCATCTCTGCTGCATGCCCATGAAAGAAGTACGCTGGAATACCAGATGCATGCAGGCAGCCTTCGATCAACTACCGGCGGAGAGTCAGGAACGATGGTGTTTGCATGCTTTGGGGACCGGCATGCTGGGCAATCTGCAGGCTCGACTGCAAAGACGGATGACTTGCGAGCAGAGCATGCGCTTGCCCTTCTCGAGATCCTCTGTCAAGGCGAGGGAACAGAGCCAATCATTCGCCTTATCGTACGAAAAACCCCCGGCAGGCTGTCGAGCTGCTCTCGTTTGCTTTCGGTGCCCCAGAGGCCCCTACGCCAAGGGCCTTCCTCCTTTGTGTCCTGCCACGTGCGTTGGAATTGACTTGTGAGGCCTCACCAGAAGCAGCTGCTGCTAATCATTCCACCAAGCAGCGCAAATGGCGGAATGCCAAGAACAAGGCAGCGGTGATGAAACGTCTCCATAAAGTGCAGCTGCAGCGCGACTTCTCGTTACTGCCGGGGTTCTGGAAGGCGAGAAGGAGGAAGAAGCTCTTCTCCATGCAGGCAGCGATGGCAGCGAGAGAAAGTATACGTCTCAACGTATATGTCACGTTGAGTTCATCTCGCGGCACTGGAGGCATCGAGCAAGAACGGGGAAGAGCCCGAAGCCGACGACGAGCAGGGCGAGGAGATGCGATTCACCGGAAAAAGGGCTTGGTGAGCCTCTTGCATTCTCAAGGAGTCCGAAGACGACATGCCTCCGCTGGTCGCGGCCTGAGTTCCACCGTCTTGGTAAGAGACCGTGGCTTTGGAATGCAGCGGCCAGATTCCTGGCGATGGATGGGAAGCGAGTCTTGGCACAGCCGATGAGGTCCCGGATCAGAAAACACGCGACAGTCTATGTCCGACTGTCCGACTCTGTCCCAGCCAACCGGCTCACGGTTCAGGCCGGCGTTCCGCAGAAAGCCGTCTGCCAGCTAAGTGGCAGGGCTCCTGGATTGCTCTTGACTCTCCCCTCCAGTGTGGAGCGATGCGATCAACTTGTCTTCACAGTCTTCGCTCGTCCTTGTTTGTGTTATTCTGCTGTACATGATCAGGCATGTGTGAGCTTGCTCTTTTTCACGTCTGAACCTTGATCGCATGTGCTTGAGAGTGACGGGCACGTGCATGTCAGCTTTGGTGATTCGTGATTTATTTTCAAAGAGTGTGCTGCCGACTCTTTCCTGCTTCCGTAAACATTGCATTTCGTAACAATCGCAGGGGGCTCTGGCAGCCTAACTAGGACCAGAGCCAACGAAAATCCCCAGTTGGTGCTTGTGAAGCAAGGATGGACGCATCCTTGTGTACATGCTAAAACAACGGGCCAAAAAACGGGCCCCTGTGCGAAGATTAGCTGCCGCCGGATCAGGCAACAGTTCTCCATAATGTGCACGGTTGCCGAAATCTGATTGTCTGCATTGCCATGTACGCAACGCTTTTCATGGATTAGACATGATGGCTTTTACATGTCACATGAGGGCATGTGCAGACGTGCACCAATAGTTAACGACCTGATGGTCGTCGTCCACATCAAGCTTGGGTCTCGCAGTACCGGACTGACTTGTGTCTAGAGTCTAGAGAGTTGTGGTGTTGGCGTCGTGGCGGCAGTCGGAACAGCAGTAAATGGTTTGCTTGAAGTTTTCCAGGCCTGCAATCACTCTCCTTCCTTTGCTCCTGCTGTTTGACACGTCACCCGACCTCTTGATGCGAGGTGCGCTGATGCACGACCCCGTTAGCACTCCAGATGGGTACCTCTTTGAGAGGGCTGCCTTGGAGGACTTGGGATGCACAAATGCCGCTGGTTTGTGTTGCCTAGCCTTGGTGTCTTCGAGGACTGGACGAGCCAGCATGGCTCGAATCCTCTCACCGGAGCGCCTTTGGTCCGGGCCCTGTGCAGTCCTAGTCCTCCTTGCGATCTTGCGAGCTTCTGCTTCCGAAGGCCATGGATGAGGTGGTGGATCGTGAAGACATAGCTAACTTTATCCAGGAGCGCAGCAAGCCGGTAGATGTGCTCATTGCCAGCTCTGTGCGAATCCATGATGGCAGGGATACCAGCTGCAGATGCTGTCCGTCACCCAAGTGGCTCCCGAAGCCATTGACGGAGCAGGGCCAGAGGCATCCCTCAGCAATTTGTTGCAAAAACATGCTTCCCAGTTTGTCAGTGCTTTCCGTCCCGTGACTTGCAAGGTCCGGGCCGCTCCTGATCCCGATGTGCCGGCACCACCTCCCACAAAGCCTGCAAGGGTCCCAGGCAGCCAGGCAGCTCTTTGTGGCGCTGTGCCTGTCTGAGGTCGAGACGGGACCTTCCTTGCTGGGAGTTAGAGACCTAGCTTATGCGCCTTGCGTGCCCTGCACAAACCGCCACCAGCCGATCCTTCAAGGACTTGCCTGCACTTTCCAAGACTGATACGACGGAGAGCAAAAGAAAGGCCACCGCATGCCACAACCAGCAGCTGCTCCGCACGTCCCCCTGAACGTGCAGGACAAGGCCAAGATCCGGATAGAATCCAGATCTGTTGTTGACTGTCCAGAGGTGCCATGCCAAGCAACTACTTGTAGCCTGCGCCTGCCGCATCACTGGGCAGCTGTGAGCCAGGACATGCGATGTGCGATAGATGGGAAAGTCATGGTGAATCCGGTGCACCTACCTGTCTTCATCTCAGCTGGGATCATGCACGGCACTCTTGGAACTCGGCAGGTGCTTTCTCGTTATGGACATCATTTCGAGAGGAAGACGCTGGAGAAGTGGTTTGGAAACTGCGGATCTGCACCGTGCTCAGACGCAGCTGTACAGTACAGAGTTCTGCCTGTGTTTGAGCTCCGCTGCCCAGGTGTGTCCGATCACCCAAAAACCACTGCGCTTGGAGGAGTGTCAACCAGATCAGGAGATGAAAAAAAGGCGCAGAGTGAGCTTGCTGGGATGAGACACGAGTGCCGTAAGAGGAAGTGCCTAGGTTCAACGGGCCTGTCCAAGTTCATGACCAGTGTTCAGACTTCAGCAGGATCGTCAAGTTCTTGAAGGGCCAGCCATGAATGCCTCGCCAAGCATTTGCCTTGAAGCCTTTCCGGCGTGGCAGCCCAGCCTGTCCTTGATTTCTCACCTGCTGTTCAAAGTGCATGCGGAGGTCTGAGCTCAGCAATCTCACGCCCAATGTTAAGCGGCGGCAAACAGAGTCATGGGTGTTGAGGTTGCAAAGCATAAGGCAGCAGTAGAAATTCAGAACGCAACTTCGGACCACTCTTCGACAAATCAGGTGCGGCGCAGAGTCTGGTGGCGGCGCTTGCGGCCTGTCTGTAAGATAGTTTCTAGGTCTAGACGTCACGATTTCACCCCGTTTGCTGCCGGTTTGACCCCGGCAGCAAGTTTCGTACATTGCAAGAGCATTTGGCGAGAAAGTCCAGACAGTGCATCTCATGATCTCATCATCTAGCTTCCCTTGTAAGATGCTCGGCCTTCAATCTTGTCCGACATGAATCAAGACCAGCTCAGGGAAGACGAAACTGTTGACACTGAGAGACTGGTGACTTGTGGCACATAGCAGCACGACATCGATGTGGTTGTGAGCTACTGGCTGCATGCACATCTGCATCAGAACGGATACAGGTTCATACGCATCGCCAGGTACCGATGTTTAGGCTGCAGCACGCGGAAACCTGGCAATGGCGAAGTTCCTTTTGACCTGTGGGTTTCGAGATCAATTACAGAGATCACGTCATGTAGACCACATCGTGCTTTGCCATCAGAACAACCATGTGGAGGCGCATGGAGGCCGTCAATTAAGCACGTTCAACTCTCATACCAAGCATGCCTCGCTGGTGTAGTGTCGCCAAGCATGCTGCAGGGTCAATGTCCGACTGCAGGATAAGGGGATAAGTGAGCCTTCCTCCTCCATCCTGGCTGCCTCTGGCCGGGAAAATTCAGGCTGTCGAACACAACACACGATTGGCAAGCACAAACTGGACCGGCTCCACCAAGACAGGGGTCTTGCAGGTCTGTTGATTCTGGCCCCGGAGAAGTGGTATAGTTGCGTAGAAGGTAGCTACTGCAGTAGGCGACCCCAGAAGAAGCGTAGCTCAACCATATAGTTCAAAACTATGCTTTCACACCCAACTGCTACCTAAACACCTGAAAAATACGCAGGGTTTATGAGCCAGGTTGCGGGGTATATGCGTCCGAAGTACAGCCGAAAGGAGCCCCTTTACCTTCGTTCGACATAGCGGCCCAAATCCGGCTTTCTGCGCATAGGCCACGATTCTGATGTCTAGGGTTGATTTGAATATGTTCTTTGTATGCTATTTGGGGTGTGAGGCTTTGTCCGGATGCCGCTTGAGACTGTCGGGCGCACTCCTCGGTCCCAGGGTTAAGGGTTAGCACAAAATGGGCTTATCGTGGCTATCTTGGGGTATATCGCCACCCATGAGCTTATTTCATACGTGAGGAAGCCCTGTTTGCAGAATTTTCAAAACCTGCAAGTTTTTCGGAAGCACAAGAGATGCCCAATCTCCCTGCAAAGCACTGATTCACGAAGTCAGAGGAAAAATCCTAGAGAAGGCCACATAGTAGTGCCCGAAAGAAGTGCGATTTCGCTTCCGAGCCCAGCCATAGGGTTCTTGCGTTGAGGATTCTGCTTGAAACTGGGGGTTTAAGGGCCAGTGTAGGGTGTAAGGCCTTCTTGCGAAGGTATGAGATGGCAACCCATAAGATCGAGACTTCGAGAAACAAAACCCTGAAGACGAGATGCTGCCAAAGCCCTGCGACCTCAGCGTCCCAAAATCTCATTAACGTCTGTATCCAGACGATTTCCATCGATTTCCGAATGCCGATGCGCGATAGGCCATACTGAAACATTCCTGCTCAGGAGCAGGCTTTTTCGAACCACTTGGAGCCCGTCTGAAACCGAGTCCAACCCTATGCGAGGACCAGGGCCCTTCCACGATCGATTTGAGCGGCGGCCACCGCATACCCGCTGAAAAATGCTGTGTGGACAACGCGCTGTGTTTGAGGGTTTTGGAGGAAGGTGGTTTTGCATTGCACCTACTTCGTACGACCTACCTTCTACAGCACCTACCGCCTCTACAAAGTGCAACAGCAACAACTGCTAGTTCTCCTCGGTGCCGCTTTTGGGCTCCTTGCAGAATGGGGTCCAGTCTGAACAATAATTGTGAAGACAAAACCGCAGGAGGGCTCAAAAGTTTTGGAAACACCATGTGGCATCTGGCTTTGGGAGCAAAGTCACGGCTGGACTCTGAGCTGTCCTGGGTTTCTCCTGTGAATTTCAGTCTTGATGCTCCTTAGTGCTTGGTGTTCACCGCTTCTGTGTGCGCTGCCATCAGTGGATCCCTTGAGCTTTAGTTCCTTTAGCTGTGAGTGCCGTCCAGCGAAAACATGTGCGTCTGAGAGTTTGCAGATTGAAGCCGCGCTTTCTACTTGGGTTCCACCTTTCCTGAACCTTCCTGCTAGAGGACAACAGGCCCAACCTGAACAATATACCACATGGGTTTGCAGAGTCTGCCGCAGCACTGATTATCGGTGGCATGGCTGCTAACCGGTTTTGTGCTTACTGTGGTTCGAGCGAGCTCTATGATGCAGGCCGGCCGGCCCGAGAGGAGACGGACCTGGGCATTTGGACATATGTGCCGCACGCCGCAGGCTCTCCTTCCTCGAGCTCCCCCAGGTCTTCGGCGGCTTCCTCGGCTTCAACATGGTCAAGGCCGGCACGTGTGCATGGTCCTCGGCGAGCTTCTCGCCCTGATCCTCCTTCAGACGGCCCTGACGCAGACGAGAGAGCTGAGAGCGAGACGCCCACCATAGACCCCACAGTGACACCGAGCGGGGCAAGCGATGCCGGCATGGTGCCGCCAAGGCTTAGCAGGAGACAACGCCGAGCCGAAGAGGAGCAGAGAAACCAGCAGGACCGAGCAGCAGAGAGCCCTGTGAGTGAGACCGATGCCCTTCGTGATCTTCGCAAGCTCGTCAAGAAGAAGGGCGCATCGTCTGAGAACTCTTGGTCCTCAGCCCAAGGACCAGAAACAGGTGTTCGATGGCGCGGGGGCACACCCCCCGTGCCACCAAAGTGGAACTATGCCAAAGATGATCTTCGCGCGTTCACCAAGTTCGAGCGGAAAGTTGCCCTTTGGCAACTTCAGGTTCGCTCTTACATGTCTCCAGCAGAAGCCGCGTTAGCTCTTTACACCTCCCTTGGTGGGGAAGCTGAAGAAGAGTTAGAACATATTGATTTGAAGAGGCTCTACAGCAAAACTGGTATAGAGTTTCTTCTTGAGCAGTTGCGTGGTCCCTTGCAAGCCAAGCAGATTTATCCCAAACGGAAATATTTGTCCGACTATGAGGTGATTAGCAGAACTGCTGGGGAAAGCATGCGCAACTACGTGAACCGCTACCATCGTGCTGAAAGGCGTTGCTGAGCATCGGCATTGACGTGGGGCTCACCTATGATGCCGAGAGCCGTGGCAGTCGGCTCCTTGATCGTGCCAAGCTTTCGCACGAGCAGCAGCGCATGGTTCTGGTCGGGACGGGGCAAAGCCTGAACTTCGAGGACATTAAGAATGCCTTGGTTCTCCAGTACCCCGACCACAAGCCAGTCCCTTTCCTTCAAGTTTTAGCGGCCAGGCTGGCTCAGATCGGGCCAAGAGCGGGCCAAAGGGCGAAAGCAAGGGCAGCAAAGGCAAGGGAAGTGGTTTCCATCCGTCGGCGCGGTTCTCTTCGGCCGGGCCCTCTCTGCGGCGAGCCTATGTTGCCGAGAATGAAGACGGCGAGGGCGAGGATGACGATGAGTACCACGACGCCCTCCAGGCCATCCACGAGGACGAGGGCGAAGACCAGGACGACGAGCGAGACGACCAGCCGGCCGATGACGACGATGAGCTGGTCCCCGACAACAGCAATGGCCCCTCCGAGGCCATTGGGGAGCTGAGGTGCTCACCGTGACCTCGAAAAAGCTGCAGTCCATGACTCAGGGCAGGAAATACAGAGGAGCACCAAAACGCAGCATTGCCGACAGGAAGAAGACCTCAGCCTGCTCAGCATGTGGTGCAATCGGACAGTGGTCGGCGGACGCTGAATGCCCTATGAGCAGCAAGGGCAAGAGCAAAGGCGATGACAACAAAGGCGGCAAAGCCGCTCCCGCTATCAGCTCGAACGAGCGCAAGGGCGGCAACGGCATGCAAAAGGTGTTCGCAGTCCGACATGCCGGGGGACATGAAACATTATACTCCCTGGATGCCTTGCCTGTCTCCGATTCGGCAGGCCAGCCATCCTCCAGCAGCCGGGTGCAGTCTTCCAAGCCGAGTTTGCGTGCGTGGCCAATGTCACAGAGCTTCAGGGGTATTGTGTTGTTGACACTGCGTGCCAGAGGTCGTGTTGCAGCAAACAGTGGAGCGAGTGCCAGAGAGAGTTGATCGAGAGCTTCGGGTTGGACATGCTGTTCGCAAACCGCAACGAGGCCTTCCAGTTCGGAGCCGGCGCGCCACAGAGGTCCGGAGTGTGTGTGTGTGTGTGTGCATATTTTCCTGTTGCCTTCGACGCGAGCTACCCCATGATAGCCCTCAGCGCCTCCATTTTGGAGAACCTCACGATACCGTTCCTGGCAGGCCTCAGCCTCTTTAAGAAATTGAACGTAGTTCTCGACCTCGCCCAGCAAAAGGCATATCTTGCAAGGCCACCTGTGCTTGAAGATTTCAGAGTATCCCGCATGCATCGGCAGTTTTTCTTGGGATGCACTGGACCATCATGATTGTGAATTTCTCTGTGAAAGCAGCCTCGTTGAGCAGAACATGTCACCAACCACAGGCACTTTCGCTCGAAACCAAGCAAGCCCTCAGCCCTGTAGAGATGCTCTCGACCCCTCCGTCATGGCCTGTGAGCTGGCCAAGGATCCTCACCCACATGAGGAAGCTGGTTGCTCGAGCAGTTGTGCTGGCTTACCGCGTGGGCAGGCTGGGGGACCCCGGCAAGGTGACAAGGACCATCCAGGATGCAAGCCAGAGGGCCGCAGCAAACCAAAGCCGAGGCCCGTGATGCAAGTTGCTCCTCAACATTGCCCCCCACGACGACATCAAGAGACACGGAAACGCCCAGGGGAGATTTGCCACATGCAACAAGTGCCAAGGCAAAGGGAAGTGGGTCGAGGATGTAGAAGCCCGTGGCTCCACCCCTCGATGAACCCGAAAAGTGGATGGAGCTCCTGGAAGCTGCAGAGAAGCGCCTGGGCAAAAGCAAGTACTTCTACCTCACCGACGCCTCGAAGGAGATGAGCATGCTCAAGCAGTTGGTGCCGTGGGAAATTACCAAGGCACAGGTGTACGGCAAGCCAATGACAAGACGGGTGCCAGTGGATGTTCCCTTTACCCACAGGGGAGCCGCCCTCATCACGAATGGTGGCAAGCTGCAGCTTGAGAGTGAGGACATCAGCGAGATTCGGCAGCCAAGGCTTAAGTTCGATGTTCCGGTCCGCATTGCCATCTTCTTCTACGGCATGGCTGAGAATGACAAAGAAATGAAGCCAGCACGTGACGATCCGAAGGCACATGTTCCAGGGCTAAGGACCGATGTGAGTTTTCCAGGGGTGCCTGACAGCATTCCAAAGGAGGTACGTGCAGCAGTGGCCCGGCTCCATTGCAACGCTGGGCACCCATCCAAGCAGGAGACCATACGCCTCCTTGCCGCGCACGGCTCGATCAACAGTGCTGTGCTGACTGCCTTGGACCACCTTAAGTGCGGTACATGTGAGAGAGCAAGGACGCCATTGAAACCCCGTCCTGCTTCTGTGCCAGAGTTCGTTGGTCAGTTTGCCGAGCAGCTGCAAGCAGATGTGTTTTACGTCAGAGACCTTTCTGCAAACAATCACCCGGTGCTAGGTGTAACCTGCCTCGCCGCCAAGTTCTACCAGGCCGCTCTGCTGTCTTCGCGTGACCCTCAGGTTGTCCTGAACGAGTTTGATAGGCTCTGGCTTCGACCTTTTGGCTACCCTCTGTTCATGAGTGTCGACGCAGATGGAGCTTTTGAGGGAGCATTTCAGCAACACTTGCAAGAGAGCGGCACGGTTTTCACGGTTGTGCCAGCTGACGGGCATCATCAAATCGGTGCCACTGAAAGAAAGAATGCTGTTTTTCGGTCCGTCTTGGAGAAGCTTATTGATCAGAACGCTGTGTGTAACAAAGAGCAGTTGGACTTATGTTTGAGCTCGGCAATCTGGTCAGTCAACAGCAGCATCCACACAAGGGGCAGAAGCAGCATGCAGGCAGTGTTCGGAAAACTTCCAAGATTTCCTGGGAACTTGTTCTCCGACAGCGCAGCATTGGCAACCTCCGACTACCACATGCTGCCGGAACATCTTCGGACCCAGGCCTGCCAAGCTGTGAACGAGATGTCCGCCTCGTCAATCATCAGGCGGGCATTGCTGCGGAAAACTGCGACCTCACGAGCCAGAGTGGATGAGCTTCTTCCTGGCTCACTCGTTGCATATTGGAGATGGAACCTCAAGGCTCGTGCGGCGGCTACATCCTCGGCAGGCTCGTTGTCAAAGATGAGAAGAATGCCTGAGTGCAAAGCGGAGGCTCCTTGGTCCAAGTGACTCACGAGCAGTTGAGGCCAGCGATCGGGATTGAGACTTGGACACCGAGTCCTGAGGACATCAGGTTGCTCAGGCAGGGCGACAAGCTCCTTAAGGACGGGCTCTGGGATGATGGTCGTGAAGGCGGACTTCCTGCAGAGGAACCTCTTGAACCAGTTGTGCATGAACCGCAAGTTGCTGGAAATGATAACATTGATGCCGGCCACCTTCGTGACGATGGTGCCGAAGAACAACGTTATCAACTACCAGTTCTTTCCAGAGACGCTGCAAGTGAAGCACAGCCACTTCCTCTACAACAACAAGCCGCACCGACTTTACCTTCCGGTGCCCTGGCTCAAGAGCAAGAACCATTGGAGCAACCGCCGCAGAACATCCACGTGTTCTCACCAAGGTACCAACAGCAGAACATTTGGCAGTACGGCGACGGACCTGAAGCCCGACCTGGTCGTGCAAGATCAAGGTCAAGAGGACAGGCGCAGATTGCGCCCTCAACACCACAAGTACTACCACCTATGCCGAGCCAACCGTCTACTCCACGACCACCGCAGACCCCAAGGAGGAGGGCTTCACTTCGGCAGGGGCAACTTGCTGACAGAGGCGGGGGTGCTCTACAGACTTCGGCGCCCGGCACGCCAAAGGAGCCCGAACCTTCGCGACTACCACCAGTTCCTTCTCCACTATCACAAACACCTGTTCCCTCTGACTTTCCGTTTTCACCTAAAGTTCCTTTTTCTGCAGACGTTTTGGCATCAGCAGAGTATGGTTCCGCAGAGTACGGCGAGGCTCCTCTTGAGGACGAGCCCGCAGACAACGCTGCCAACACTGCGCAGGCAGCTTCAACGGAGCCCTCGGGGCTCAAAGCAGCGACACTTCCAAGCTCAAGTCGCATGGCAGATGATGGACCTCCGCCGCAGCTACCTGCTAAGCGGCCACATGATGCCCTACAAGCGCAGCAGAAGAAGAAAGCCACCGCAGCTCACTCAGTCTTGCTGTCACACTTCGTGCTTGACGACTTCTACGAGATCTACAGACTTGAAGAGGGCTGGGACGGGTCACCAGACTACAGGCTGCACTCACCTTGCACCGCTTTTCGTTGCTGCGCAGCCAAGGTAGAAGACACTGAGGTTTCTTCTGATTCCTCTGACTCCTCAGATGATGGAGGTGCGTCCCACTCTCCTGGACTCTCCAGACAAGAGCGTAAAGCCATCGACCGCGAGATTCCTTGGAGAACCTTGATGAAGGAGTATCCCTCGGACATCATCAGCCTCTATGTGAAGGCCAACCGCAAGGAGTATGACTCTTGGATGTCCTGGAACTCCATCAAGGCGCTCAGCAAGGAGGAGGCAAGACGTGTGCTCAGTGACCCCATCCTTCGGAAGCGGGTCATGCCCTCGAGGAACGCCTACCGCGACAAGAACAGAGGAGCCGGACCAGAAGTGCGAGCAAAGTGCAGAACCATAGTCCAAGGGTGTCATGATCCAGACCTTGGTCTTCTGGACAGATCAAGTCCAGCACCAACTCGCAACGCAGAGTTGCTGCTCTACGAAATTGCTTGCGCAGGCTACAACAGACGCTTCCTCAAGAACAAGAAGGCCTGGAAGCTCTGGTCAGGCGACGTTGCTACAGCTTTTCTGCAGGGTCAACCAGAGGAACGAGATCTTCCGATCTACATGCGACCACCCCGTGATGGGATACAGGGGCTCGCAGGAACGTTCCCGTTCGACCTTTACCAGATTGTGGGCAACCTGTACGGCCTGTGCAATGCACCAAGGACCTGGATAAACCATATCGTCCGGAAGCTCCAGGCAGCCAAGTTCCTAAGGCACCGTCTGGACCACACTGTGTACTACAAGCTCGACTCACAAGGCGAACTGCTAGTTGTGCTCCTTTTCCACGTCGACGACTTCCTGACGGCGTTTCGCGAGGACTATGAGTTCAGCGAGCTGCAGAACATGTTCACCTGGGGGCAGACCAACCTTCTGGACGACGGTGACCTTGTCTTCAAGGGCAAGGAAGTCAGCCTCAAGAAGGTGAATGGCGAGTACGAGATTCACGTCACCCAGAAGGCCTTCATCAGCGAGCTGGTAGCTGGCAAGCTCAAGCGCGGCAGAGCTTCTGAAACAACTCCCTTGACTCCTGAGGAAATGAAGGAGTACCGCAGCTGCGCAGGGAGCTTGCAGTGGTTGGCCGGGAGTACAAGACCAGACATTGCTGCAACAGTGTCTCTGAGCAACCACGGCGTGAACAGCAACCCGAGCCAACTGAAGGTCCTCTACGAGTGCATCGACTACGTCAAGGAGACTCCCGATCAAGGCCTGGTCTTCCAAGGAGTTGCAATCAGCTACGCTACAGTTGTGGTAGGCTACGCAGAGTCCTCTTGGGCAAATGCTCTTGGAGGCAAAAGCCAAATGGGCGTGATCATCGTCATCACGGGACCAGAGTGCCAAGATCAGGTCTCACGAGCTACAATACTGGACTGGAGAAGCTCGAGGAGTCCAAGGGTGACACGGTCCACTCTTGCCAGCGAGGCAAACGCCATGGACGATGGCGTGGACAGAGCCACCTTCCTCAACGTCTTCCTGTCCGAGTTCTTGAAGAGGCCCAACAACAGTGGACAGCTTGAAAAAGGAGTACTGAAGCAGCTCCAGGTGACCGATTGTAAATCCCTCTTCGACGCAGTTATCTGCGAGAATCCCTCTCTTGAAGAGAAGAGGACTCTGACATCAATCAGGTCGATCCAGGACTAGATCAGTCCAAGTCAAGTCCACTGGGTGCCTAGCGAACTGATGTTCGCTGACGTGCTGACAAACCACTCTACTTCTCTGCGAGACGAGATTTTACTCTGGATGCGCAGGCCACACGTACAGCTTAAGGAGGATGAACACCAAAAGAAAGTTTTTACCAGTGTGAATTTCAGTCTTGATGCTCCTTAGTGCTTGGTGTTCACCGCTTCTGTGTGCGCTGCCATCAGTGGATCCCTTGAGCTTTAGTTCCTTTAGCTGTGAGTGCCGTCCAGCGAAAACATGTGCGTCTGAGAGTTTGCAGATCGAAGCCGCGCTTTCTTCAGAACCTCGTTGCCATAAGATCTCCAACGTCACCGAATTTCCGGTGTTGTGACTGGGTTTGTGTCATGGTGGAATTCGAGTTTTTGCAGCGTGTCTTGGGAGATTTCTTTAGTGAAGTGGAGGGTTCGGGGTTTGGGCTTCATGGTTTGGCAGAGACAAAGGGCCAGAAGCGAGCCTGGATGAAAGAAGGGACTTATGGGGTGTTCAGTTGGCTTGAGCCTTTGAGGAGGATACGGACAGGGCTGCATGCGAGTGTTTGGGGTGTAGGGCGTTGGTTACGTTGTCAAGTCAATTCGGGCCGCAACACCTACAACCGAAGCTTAGACCTGGTAGCCTAAAAAGAGCCCCCAAGTCTTTGCGAGATCGATCCTGCGTCGATTGTTTGGATTTGGTTGCAGGCGGAAGGGGCATGCAGTGGGAGTTATTCTCAGCTCACGGTCTTCGGCCTCATCTGACCCGGCTCCAAAGCAACTTCGATCAGTTGCACCTAAAACAACCCCGGAGCCCTCAAGATACGCAGTTACCGGATTGAGCAAACTCTACGCAACGGAAGACATCTCAAACTCGTACGCATCCTAAAAGGAACTGAGCCCTAGAGCACCAGCATTTTGGCAAAGCCGGGTCCAACAAGGATCCTTGTCCACTTTGGTCCAGCAGCCGGCGCCCAACTTCAAGCTCATGGCGTGTGCCTTCGACATGGGTAGGGGTTCTCTCAGGGTGTAGGATTGGACTCAGGGTTTAAGCTTTCGTCTTGGCCAGCCTTCGCGTATCGGGATGGCCTGGCTTCCGGCTGTGCCCAGGCCTCAGCCAAGCGTGAAGCAAAGCCGGCTTCCCGGCAGCGATGCCAGCTGCCTGGTTCAGGAGCATGCCACGTGTGACATCCAATAGGCTGGGGCAGTCAGCTCACAGCATTCATGCAACCCTAAACCCAAAATCTTCAGCTGCTTCCCGGCCGGTTGTAGCTCCCCTTCGGGGGTGTTAGGGAAGTTGTGGGGCCTTGGGGTTTAGGGGCCGATCCACAGCCAGGTTACTGCGCCTCACAGCCAATCTTCGCGAATAGCCAGTGCGGGAAAGTTGTTGGAAGTATCTGCCACTCGCAGCGACAAGCTTTCGAATGCGTTTTTGCTGAAGCCATCTTGGACGCATGGAAACGTCCGGCTAATTTGAGGCGAGTTTGGACAGGCGCCAGGTCATCGCATCTTCTGCGATGTGGAGAGAGAGAGAGAGAGAGAGAGAGATGCTCCGGAGCTTCCGCCGTCGCTTTGCGAGGTCTGCCTCGCCTTGCCTCACGCGGAGCGCCAGGCACAGCTGCATAGAGGCTAGAGCACTTCTGAGATCCACAGAAGATTCGCGATCAACTCGATTCTCAGCGCTTGTGTTGCACACAGCGCGTGGCTGTGGACAGATTGCACAGTGGAGGCCTGAGCGTGGCAGCATTATGGCAGGTGGTGCCAACTTCCGTGTTTGCCATGTTGTTCACTCCTGATCTGCAAGATGTGAGGTTAATGCCTTCGGTGTCTTCCATGCTGCCCGCAGCTGCTTCGCAGCTTTCGACCAGCCTGCCACTGAGCATACGTATATGCTTGACCATTCCATGCACGTTCCTGTGCAGTCGGGAGCGATTCCCTGACGTCGTTGCGTGATGGATCTGGCACACGCTCATGGGTCGGAAGGAATGCGGGCCAGGGACCATTTCTCAAGCTCGAATCGAAGCTTTCGACATGCGTGCCTCCGAGCATGTGTATGAAACTTCATGAGCTGGCACACGACCGTTCTTGCTCAAGCTGCACGGAGTCTCACCTTGGTCAGAGATGACAGTCAATGTTCTGCACTTTTGCAGGATCACAGAAGTCATGTCAAGGAATGTCCCAACCCTTGCCCTAAAGTAAAGAAACTACCTTCTAGTACCTTTCGGGCACATGCCTTCGGTAGAGGTCAACCTGATAGCACTGATAGCTATGATTCTTCTCCTCCTTTGCTTGGTGCCCGCGGGCGCCCTGCGCCCATTCAGCACCCGCTCCGAGCTCAGCGAAGCCGTCTGGAAGTGGGCAGATGGCAGAAGAGACGAGGTTGCGGCCACGTACGGAGAGATCGGTCGCTGGAATGTGTCTACAGTCACCAGCATGCGAGGACTCTTTCAAGACTGTCGAAACTTCAACGAAGACATAAGCTCTTGGGATACTTCGGCAGTGACCGACATGGGCTGCATGTTCTATCGCGCGAATGCATTCAACCAACCCATCGGCTCCTG